AACTCTGGATTAAGTCATGCCTAAAGCCTGCTGGCCATATGAGCCATAATAGAAATTGATCTGTTGTATCTGCCCTTCCAGGGGCTTGACTCTTGCCACGGGCTCAAACCAGAAGAGGAATAAGCTGCATGTGCAAAAGGCAAGTAGCGGGAGTGTGAGATGGATGAGGACCGAATACCAGCCTGTGGGTTGCATCCTGCATTTCTTCCCTGCTTCTCTTCATTAACGATGGAAAAGCTTGTTTTTACTGGATAGGTTTTGTCAGCATCGCTGTCCCACATGGAGAAAGTTCCCAATAATAGACTGAAAAAGGGTGAAAATGGATGATGGACCTGCCAGTACAGATGGACCACTGGGCAGAGGAGGCGCTCAGAATGTCCTGCTGTGCAGTTTCCCCACAGCTTTCTGTTTGCCAGAGTTACCCAAGGACAATACCCTGATCCCTTTCTATGAAAGCAAGTCACTCCCAACAACTGATGAGGACTGAGTATGAGAACCAGCTGGCAAAGCGCAAACAGCTCTGAATTAAGTTGCTGTAATTGTGAATGGCTTTTGGAGCTCAAAACCTGCGAAAATCCACAGGTTCAATAGAACATGTGCAACCTTCAGGAGCAAGAGGCAATATGCAGAGCAATGCTTTCTGCCTCTGACATTGCTTCTGCATCAGGACACTTGCTAATATAGCATGCCATCTGGAGAGTCTTAAAAATGAAAAAGGAGGGGGATCCTAAATGAACCTTGGTACAACTTTCACTTTTGGGAGACATGAATGCAGAATTCAAATTAAAATAAAGCTTTTCTAAAAACTATGTGACACAGAAATGATCAGTGATTCAGTGAAGAAACCAAATGTGATTGCTTAAAACCTCAAGCAAAACCAGAAAGCCAATTTAAAAAGAAATTATTCTAATCTGAAATAGAAAGGGAAAGGGCACATGTGTTAAGACAGTCTGATAACATCAGTTGCTCACGGTGTTCTCCCTGGCTTTAAGAGCATCACAGGGAAAAGAACTGAGCCTCTCCAGATGGTATTTCACTGCCTTAAAGGTACTTGTTTCTCCTTGACTCATTCCCCAGCACACCTTCCAGAAGCAGGTGCACCAGAGGTCCTATATGGACAATTGTCCTCTTCCCTGGCTGCTCCTAATTCATTTCTTTAACACGGCTCATTTTGCTCTCGGTACAAAACAGCAGTATGTGACTGTGTACCTTAAAAGCTGTGGGGGAAATTTTTGCTTTATTTAAGAACAGGAGAATTTTATCTGTTATTTCAGGATGGCCAAAATTGCAGTTAAATTTTTTTCTGCACCTGGACAGACTGTGTTGGTCTAGCTATTGCACTTAAACCACTTATTTCCTGTGGGAATAAATTTGGTAGCTTGATGTAGACCTTCCTTCTTGAATTTTGACCACCAATAAAATGCCTTGGTTCCCCTGCTCAAGCCAAGCTGTGTGGCTCAAGCTTGCAGAGAGGCCCTCCTCCAGCTGTTTGAAATCTTGAAAGGCACTTCATGAATTATACATTATTAATATTGTCTTCCAACATCAGAAGACAGTAATTAACTCTTTGAAGACACATCCCAAACACCGCTTTGTAACTTTCAGTCCTCAGAGGCAGCTATGTAAATCTCATTGTGATTTTAAAGAATATCTTCCCAGATTAATTATGTTCCCTGTTTGGAAAAATACAAAAGTTCACAGTGCTGTTTCTGCCTTCAAGTGTGTATTAGTGACATTAGATGTGCCATAAAGATTTCAGAGCACGAAACATGATATGCTGCAATACTTTACAATTACATATTAAAAGTCACCTCGCCACCCAGGGCAGGAAAGATGACTGCAAGTTGAAAAGCAGGCAGGCACACTCACTTTATGGGCTCATAAATGCAGCGTGATGGCTGAGCTACCCAACACAAAAAAGACAACAAAAATCCAGAGTTGATAATAGCATTCTGAGCAGATGCCTTAAGTAGGTCATTCAACATGCCAGGCCTATAAATATTATTTGGGAGTGAGAAAATATTATTTTCCCACTTCACTGAGACTTTTTCTTCCCTGTCATGTGGAACTAACCTTTCGTACTCAGTACTATTATTAATTTATTAGCCTTTTGATCGTCTAAATTGGTTTGCAGTCTATGGACTACATTTAAGTGCTGGGTGAGGGACAGTGCAGCAAAAACACATGTGTGTGTGCACCAACATACATGTACATGTATTTTGAAGAGCAGATCTGAGGAACAACAATTCTGTCCATAATTTTTGACAGTGAGAACAGCCGTTTTCTTGAATACAGAACTGCAAGGAGGGTAGGTATTCTTGTTTCAATTAAATGTCAAACCTTACAAGGGATAACTACTCAGAAAAAGTCTACTGAAATCATTTAAAGGAGATAACAATTTTCTTTCCATTTTGATTACGTCTCCAGCACAAGTTGCTGCAGTACAGTGAAGCTCTGTCAGCCCAGTCTCCCTGCCAGAACAACCGCTTTCTGTTTGCCTGATGAAACTGTCCTGAAAGGCACTACTTTTCATAATAGATGAACTCAAGACCAAGCTCTTCTGTGCCCTAAAGGAAATCACATATACTTTCAGCAGATACAAGGTTTGAACCAATACCCTCAATAACTTTATGTAACTGGATTTAGATTGTGTTCCTGGTGTTGAAAGTAGCATGAATCTATGAATCTGTGAATCTATTTAGGAACAATACACAGAATTTCTGCAAAGCAGGCTCTGGCTCAATACTAGATCTGCAATACTTCTTACTGAATCTCACTGCAATACTACAAGTAAGACTCCTCCCAAAATAGTTCTTGAGTAAAACTGTAGGAGACATCTTAGGTGGCATTTATCTGATGTACCCAGGTTATTTAAATGTTAGCGGTGATGGAGTCTCTCAAAAGTCAACAGAAAAGGGATGGTTTTTCCATCCCAGACTGGGCAGTGAAGAGGGGCCAGGTGACTGCCTTCTGGAAAAAACATTCTTCATGGACTATACAGGTGACAGGTGACTACCTTCAACGTCATCACCCAGCTTTTTGTGAAATGAAATCCACCCTGCATGTACCACATTGACATAACATTTCTTTCACTCTCCATCCATTCTCATGTAATACCCACACATGCTCCTGACCAACGTTTCCTTTCCTTCTGCAAAATCTAACATTTCTTTAGAAGTACTATTTGCTTTGAGTCACTGCCCCCATGGCAAAGTCCACATACCTAACACTGGGCTAGAAAGTAGGTATCTGTACTGAGGACCTGAGCTCCATGACAGTTTCCACTTGGGTGACTCCCTAAGCCAGGGCCCTGAAGGGGAACTAATTTTCCTTAAAAAAGGTGCATGATGGAGAGGAAAATCCATGATACCCAGCTAGGAAGCTATTCCGCATATGCATCCACAGACTATAGAGTTGAACTCCAGCACATTGCCTTGTCAGGAAAAGATACGTACATTTTTTTGCTGTACACAGCCGTGTCACAGCTAATGGGGGGAGGGGAGCCCTAGGAACCTAATTAAAGTGACAGTTTTTCTGTTTTAAGAAGCAAAGAATACATTTTGGCACAATATATGTGGCATTATCTTGTCCCACAAAATCAGCATCAGCAATGCCTGTGCAGAATTGTCATCTTGGGACTGTAGTTTATGGCACATCGCAGGTAGGTGAGATGTCAAGGGGAGGACACTAAAGTCAAGGCTTGGAGGACATCTTATCAACAAAGAAGTGATAAGCTAGAAACCCCAAACCAGCTTTCAAGCCCCAAAGCCCTTCTTCAAGTCTAAAGCAGAATTAACAACCTTCGAGTCAGACGTAAGCTGACAAACTGGAACCAAACCTCATTATAATTCAGGTCTTTCAGGCTCCGACACAGACAGAGGGGGAACTCTAATCCCCTTGCATCTGCTTTTTGCCATGGTTTTGTGCCACAATTTGTACATTAATAAGCACAAGGAATGCACTAAAAATTGAAAGAAGCATTCGTAAGATGCTCCCATGGCTAGAGAGAAACTAGACTGAGAAAAGTAAAATTCTAGTTGTCCTGAACTCCTCTTGCTGCAGAGGTTGAAATCGTCTTGTGAAATACTGAGGTAGCCTTACTACTGTACTGAGGTACATTATCAGGTGAGATGCCCAAGGTACAGCTGCAGAAAAAAAATGTTTTTCAGTAGCTAGAGGATCACAGTTAATGCTCAATCATCTATAAATCATTGTTATGAGATTTCTCTATGCAAATGAAATTTATATAACCCTTATCAATCTTAAAAAAAAATCATGAAGATCAAATTTTGCAGCTGCAATGTGAATTAAAGAATCCCTTAACCTGTTTTAAAGATATGTCCTTACAGCTAATTCATTTTTAGATGGAGTGTTCTTTGAAAGGACTAATGGATAGTGAGCATTGCTGATTGATTATAAAATGAGCAGGAGGGTTTAAGGAGTGAGATGTGAATGTAAAATTGCTACCAAGCTTTATTAACCTTGCCATATTAAAATTCTAAACTATGCAAGTGAGAGAAGCAGGTATTAATACAATACTTTGGCTGAGTACATTTCATTTATTTAACTTAAATAAATTTCTCTTGGTCTATGCCCTGCAGATCCATCAGACTGTCCTCTGACCTGTATCTGAGCAGGTGAGAGACTAAACCCCACCTCCAGGGAATCAAGAATCTGCATTCTATCAGACAACAGAATAAAACTTCATACATCGTGCAATGGGGAAAAAAAGCCAAAAACCAGCAACTGTGAAGAAAAGGAAAATAAATGTAATTCATGTGTTAAGCTGCTAGGACTGCTTCTCAGAGCTGTAAATCTACGGGTAAGTTTTATAGAGCCATCATTAACAAACAGTGACAACATTTACTGAAAGGCCAGTTAATCTGCAATGACCTGAAAACATTGAGAGTAAATTAGGGGTTGTTAAACACTGCAAACAGTCTGCAAAAGCGTGCAATGTCTTGGAAAGAGAAAGGGGAAAACAAGAACTGTAGCCTTACCCGTTTCCTCAAATTGCAGGTGAGTGTGAGATTCCTTGAGAATGAGTTTGCAAAAGCAGTATAAAAGTCCAACACTTTAAGCAAGGCTTCTCGTTTAATAATATGTAAATCGCAGTATGTCAGAGCCCGTACATTGGCACACGCATGGGCCAGACTGGTTTCTTTCCAGAAGATATCACCAAACACATCGCCTTTACCTGAAAAACAGCAGGACAAATTCATTAAGAGGTAATGCTTATGCAGTGTTTGGCAGCACACAAATTATTTCTTCCCAAACTGTCTTATGCTGCCAGTGATTCTAAAATAAGCTCCCAGCTGTGAAAACTAATAAGGGTAAATATTTTAAAAGTATCTGAGGTACTTGAGTATCCTTAGCAGTAGCCCCAGGTTTTTATGGTATTTATAGATTGCTCTGTGAAGTGTCACAACACATAAAAGCCAGACTGTAAAGGTCTCCTTGTAGCTGAAGATGCAGGTAATGGATTTTTCAAAGGCTCCTGAATATAAGTAGTACTTAACTGATGTTCAGGTAATATAGTATTTCTGAGGGTCTGCTCCTAAGCGACTTACAAGTCCTGCTCTTACCAAAAGCCTATGACATCAAGGTTCCCACATCACCATGGCTTTGCAGGGTGGTGCAGGAGCCAGCTTCCAGGGCCCAAGGATCATATTTTAAAGGATCTTTACACATTTTTAATGCAGAGTGAGTTGCAACACTCCTGAAAAACCCACCAAAAACCTCCCTGAGACTTTCAATCTCTAAATAATCAGCTCTACATCTTAAACACATCCAGACGCCTAGTCCTAAACCCAAACATATCCACTTAAGTAGAGGCTTACACTTTAGTCCATGCTGAGTAAGACAGGGTTTGACACCTTAGGCACCTGCACATATAAATAACTTCAACCAGATGTGAATATTACACCTGAAGGCTATTTCTGCATTGGTAGGCAGTGAAGCAGAACAGCTGATGCACATTTTGAGGATTTAAGACTAGCTGTAGTCCCGTCCCACAGACAGAAGAGCTCCAAGGGATGGAAATGCATGAAATATGCTCAAACATACCTCAGTTTCCTTTCTGCAAGGAATTCACATAAAGAGCCACACTAGACACTGTAGCAGGACAAGCTGGGAAGATTAGGACATCAGGTTGAAAATCATACTCGTGACCTAACCAAACACCAGCATGTATGCAGACTGAAGTTATGCTTTTAGGCTGGGACACTATGGTTGCTCTGAGGAGTAGTAGTGTGGCAGCAACAGAAGGCACACTGAAGCATGCAAAAGCTGCCTTTCGCTCCCCAGTTGCTTATCAGCCATGGGCTGAATGAGAGCCATAATGTGCCATTTGTGGCCAACATCTCAAATATGGAAGCAGAAGCTATGGAACAAATGGTTTGTTTCTTTTTCAGACCCCAATGTTATCCAGTGTCTTTATTTTAGCACTTATTAAAAGGAAACTAAAATCAGTCAGTCAGTGGTGGTAAGGCTATTGATCTCAGGTACCTCAAGCAGCCTCTTGGTCAAGGTTAATGATTTGGGGAAAAAAATGTAATACATTTTAATATTTCCTTTTTTAAGAACTTGTAACATTTCACTCAACTCTATTCTGGGAGCACAGACCAGAGCAATAATTTATCCAACCTTACTACTTTAGGGGGTTAGATGTTGTATTTCTCTGTTTCCATTCCTGTTTTAGGTATTGTATCCAGTAGAGCACATCTCACATTCCTCATGCAGAGTAAAATAAAATGTGTCCTTAACTTAATTTCCTTGATTTTATTTTCTAACAAATGTCTATATAGCAGAATCATTCCTTAAAAAGGTTATAACTGCATTCTTATTGAACTGCTTTTAATTCTACATGTTTTGATATAATTAAAATTAACTACTATATGTAATATAGCTGGTATAATTTATAAAGCAAGCTACATTGAAATACTCTCTTCATCACGGAGCATTTCCTAGTAACATATCATTTATCCAATGTACTGTTTTGAAATTACCCATTGCAGTTAATTGTCCTTGTCTATACCCACAGTTCAAAACCTGTTTTACAGACATACTCAGCATAGTTACATAATTTATAGGAAATAGACCATTTCTGAAATGCACTAAATTGCCTAATGGATTTGCTCTCTGAGGTGGACACAGGACAGAACTGAGTCTTGCTTTCAGTAGCTGCAGAGTGCAGTTAAAAAGACAGAATTCAATAGGAGGGACTACTATGATTTTCCCACTGAAATATCAGCAAAATACTTGTTTTCTTCCCAAATTTAAAGTAATACATACTTAAACTAAGCCAAGAAGTTGAAAGCAGTGCACGTTTGCTCTGAAACTCTGCATGATGGTGCATTACAGTATGTGTACCTAAACCACAGATAAATGGAATTACCATTCATGAACTTGAGAAGATCTCATTGTCTTCAGTGAGGCTGGGAACTGCACTGGGTCCCTCAGAAAGGCTGGGACATGATGAACTGAACCTATTCACTCCTCCATGAGACATCAGTTACTGGATTTGAATGGTGAAATTATAAGCTTCTCTTATATTGTGGTTTATTCTCTTCAGAAAGCAGAATATCTTGGAAGTGTTTAAGGGTTCTTGAATTTGACATTTCCCATACACACTTCCAAGTCTCATTTCCCTGTTATAAATATATTAAGAAATGTATTGAATGAAAACAAAACCAATCAGATTCTCCAAAACACATCTTTTCTCTTAAATACAGAGATTAATGCACTATACTTTCTCCCTATTAACTGTAGTTCACTGAGTAGAGAGTTGCAATTATTCATTCACGTATAATTTTACATAGTGCAACTAAATGAAAAAGGAAAAAAACCCACCAGCTTTCAGAGTTGTAACTGAAAATTTAACTGGTAGGTCTGAAACACCAGCTACTCAGAGGCATGTATACATTCTATGCTTGCACAACATATGCACACCTCCAGGATAAGCCTGGTGCTGGGCTAGGAATACAGAGGTGCTTGGGGCTGACGCAGCCTGCAGACTTTTGAAAGCCTCTCTCTAGAGATTTCTTGATGCCTCAGCATATTACCTCACAAATCTGCACTGTTCTGAGTTCTGAGCAGACTTAATACTCCTCCTGAATGGAGGTGAAGCTATGAGAAGTCCTCCTGCCCCTGCTCTCACCATGATCAAAGCATCACTGCAAAAAAGAACACTGTAAATTGGAGTGGGAACTGCTTGCATACCTTTTGCACTTGGTATGAGGAAAGGGAAGAGGAGGATTTGGATACTGATAGATTAAAGCTGGCAGGAACATGGGTGTAGCGATTTGGGAATGAAAGAACCACAGAAATCAGGAGGACATGTGCAAGATGTGGGTGACAGCCATAATTTTTGCTGAAATGACTACAGTCTAGATATGGACAAAAATTTGCTGGTGTATTATGTCCATATGACTGTACATAAAATATGTACTATAATATGTACATATAATATGTAACTATGTAATAGATATTTCTATACATTTTTCTATCTTTTCTATTATGATAACTCTCCCATAAAAAAGTGGGGGGAAGGGTGTTTTCTTCTCTTCCCTTGCACCATAGACTGACTTGCCAATTTGTGAGACAGCAGCTCACACCTAGACCGTTCAGGCAGAAAAAATCTTAAGGGCCTTATGAAACTCCTCAGGACCTTGTAAAGGGAATGAAAAAGTCCTTGCACTTAGGAAGGAAAGACTGTTATTAAGCAGTGTCTCAGAACCCTTATATATCTATGCAAAAGAAAAATTTATCCTTCTCCAGATGAGAAGTATCCTAGTAGACATGAGAAGTTGATGGGGCCTTTGGAAGAAAATTTGGACAGGCAATGAAACAATAAATTCTGGGTGAAAAATGGCACTAAGGAAAAACACATAAAAGGGGCCGAGACTTCTTAAGGTGGTAAGGTGTTTTTCTGTGCTGTGCAGTCACATGCTAGCAAAAGTACTTTGCATTATTTAACCCAGGGCAACCTTCCCCATCTGTGCCTAGAAACACAAAAGGAATGTACCTTCCTTCCAGCATTCAGGACTGCTGCAAGAAGACCAAAAGGTCCGTACAGATATTCTGCCTCACTTCCCTCAGTTTTAGTGCAAGTGGCCTAGCACTTCATCTTTTTCTAGAAGCCCAGGATATCTCCATTTTGATTTTATACAGAAATAAGTTTCTATTCTTCCTGAATGAGGAAATCAACTTGAAAGCTTGACCAGTCCCACATCTTCAAAACTCGTAAGGCAAACCAAACTGCTTCAAACTGTTAGTCTGATTTAAAAGAAATACATTACATGATTTTTAAATAATTTTCCTTTTCTGTCACTGCCAAGACTTCTGAGTTCCTGGGTTTGGCAATGAAGTGTGCAGGTCTAATTCGAAAGCATTTCAGTCCAGTGAAAGGAATCTTTCTGACATTGGAGGCTGCAGATCACATCTCTAACACACCAGATGGCACTAAATTAAGACTGATGCTTCTTATTATAGTTAATTAGCATGCAGATAGAGACAAAAATATTTTAAATTTACAAAATAATGTGAAAAATTGAACTTTCCCTTCAACTCTGTCAGTAAGAACTAATAACACTTTGGAACAAGCGTCTGTAGGACTAAACGCTACATGGTACTACGTATGCCAACTCAGGCCTGCAAGATATGACTTCCTGCAAGGCACATGCTCAAGAAGAACTGCACAGCACAGAGCACCACGTCACGCTGGTTCTCAGATCAGTAATTCTTTAAATATTTTGTAAAATACTTCAAGATTCAGCACTCAAAAAACAATCTGCATCATGTTCATTTTTGCAGTCCTGCATTTGAAAAAAAAAAAGAAACCCAACCCTTTCCTTTATGAATCATTTTCCTTTTCGTTATTTTAGAGCTTTAACTTATTGGAACAAAAGGGACCTTTTCCATAAATTCAATAGCATACAAGCTGTTCCATAAATTGCTACTGGGTGCACATTACTAACCTGGGGAAACTCTCACTATTAGTCTGCCTTGGTTTACATCACACGAAAAACAAAAAAAATGTTCAGTATAAATATCAAGAGCTGATATGACATAGGGGCAAATTCTGCCTCCTTCATTCCACTTGAGAAGAAATCAAGCTGCAACTAAACTAATTAAAATCACAGAATTAATTACTAATACTATGAGATGTAATTGCATTGACAGGCCATTTTTTATGTCAGGGAGTGCATCACACTTGGTCATATTTGTCTTGCACAAAGGACATGCCTGGCTGTGTAACATCAAGGAAATTCAAAGTGTTGATGCAGGGATCCCAGGCACCAAATTACTAATTCCCATGGACGACAACTACTGAGCACGTGGGTCTCCTGCTCACCTAAATGCTGTTACTTGCTCAGCCTTTACAGCCTTTACTGCTCACCAGTAATGCTGTTACTTGCTCAGCCTTTACAGAACTTTCCTCTGTGTGATTTGGTAGGAGACTTAATCTTTTGATCTCCAAACACATGTAAAATTAAAAGTAGAAAAAGACTCATCCCAATTTTCAGCTGTCATACCAAGTTCAAGACATGCCACTTATGCTCTTGCTTTCCCCAACTCCTCTGACACTTCATAATATCCCCTTCCCAGACCTTTAATAAGCGAAACTCTGGCTTGCTAAAAGACAGAAAGTCCACTAAACAACAGGTTGCTCTGGGAGTATATACAGAACATGCTGAGAATTAACATCATAAAGGCAAATACAACTTAATTGAATACATACAGGATCAGGATTCTGAGTGTGGCTGAAAATGAGCTATTAAATATACATTCATTCTGGCTCGACTATCAAAATTGAATTCATTCAGCCCCCACTAGGATTTCACTGCTCGATATATTTTTACCGCTATGCAGTTTGAGCAATATTTTTGATCAGTTCCTACAATCAACATTTGAATGTGGTGGGTCATTATTTTTCTGCTGGCAAAATGACTTTAAACCTTCTTAATCAATCTGCCTGATTTAAGTTACAGTATAACTTACGTAGTCAGCTGTGCAAAATAACGGGAGCCGGAAAGCAGCTTCCAGAGACACTGGTTGGCATTGCCACTTACACAAAACTCCTCTCCAGGAGCAGATTCAGGTTAATTGCAGTAGGGTGAGTTGTTAGGTGCTGTCTGCTAGCAGATTCCTCATTCCATTAGCCTGTGGCATGTAAAACCTCTGGTCCTTCCTGAGACTTCTCTGCTGGTAACACCTCCCCCAGGCAGAGCAGTGGCAGCTATACTGTTTACTCCTGCTTGAGACAGTGGAAAATTACTGATCTGTCTTCTTAGGGTCACCTCACTTGCTAGGAAAGTTTTGATAATTAGAGCCAAGACTGTTTGCCCTTCTCCATTATCCTGGCAATTGCGGATGAGCTACGTTAAAATGACTGGGTCTTGTTTTCTCCAGCAAAGCAGCACCCCATCACACCAGCTCTGCTTGTGGTGCACTTTCTGCTACAGCGGCAGTCAGTACCTGCAAAAGGTGGGAGATTGTCCTCGAGAAATGGAGGTAACTAATGAAGGAAATGTAATGGAGCATCTGGGTATCTCCGTTAATGAGTCCTATAAACTGCAGAGCTACAATTGGATTCATTCTCTCAATGTACCAATTTCTGTAATGCTGATTACTACAGCAGCTGGGCATTTAATTATGCACTAATGAGAACAAAAACAAACCAGGGGAGAATAAAACGTCACAGTGCTACAAGTTGCCCTGTCAATCACTGGGTTTCACCTGCTTTTGAAACACCAAAGTTGGGGCCATTGACCCAGGAAAACTACTGCTGAACAAAAGGGTGGTTGTCTTCACAGCAGAGCCACAGAAAGCACCTGGATGGGATGCCAAGTCTCCTGAGGACAGTGTCTCAGCAGTCAGGGAGGTTGGATGTGCCAACTCACCATGGCTGTTAGGGAACAGAATGTGTTAAGGGAAGATGGACAAGGGGAAAAAGCAGCAGCATTATGGAGTGTTTTATGCTGGGACCTGAGGGAAGACAAAACCCTGCACTCTGGACAGAAGCATGAATGTAAGAGATGGTAGATGCACATTCCTAACACATTTTGGTGTCCCTAGCTGATTCACTTTTTGAGGATATTCCACTTCTAAGAATATACCAGAACTTCCACTGGCAGGTGAGCAGGGTTAAGAAAAAAAAAAAAAAGGGACACACCTTCTCCTCTTCTCCTTCTCTCTCTCTTTAAGCAAGGCAAATAATATTACCATATTAAACAACACTACGCTATTATTTCCTCTGCAAGGAGCAGCGGCTGGCAGACAGCATGTCCTGCTGCGTTCCAGGTCCCATACAGGAAATTAATGAGGACAAGCTTCCAAAGGGTATTTATTGCATTTACTCTCTGGGTTACTGCTGGGGGATGGAGAAGATGGGCAGACTGGTAGTGCAACCCCGTAAGTTGACTTTCACTAAGAAACACAGTGTGACAGCAGATACTTGGAGTATTCAAAGCAGGCTACAGAGGTTTTCACATTAGGCAGATGTTTTTAAACATGGTCTCCTCCTTGGGCAGATTCACTCTCCTTGTGCTTGAATTTCTTAAGGCAGAAGAGATTGATAAAAATCACGTTCTTCACTGTCTAATCTGCAGTCACTATTTCAGGTGCCACAGATGCCACTGTAGATATCTGTCATGGTTTAAGCTCAACCAGTAACTCAGAAGCACACAGCCATCTGCTCACCCTTCCCATCCCCTCCGCCTCTGGCTGGGATGGGGAGGAGAATCAGAAATAACTAGAAACCAGTAACTAAGGTACCATACAAAACCACTGCTACTACTAGTACTACTAATGATAAGGGAAATAACAAGGGGAAAGAATATAAAACTAAAAATGGAAAGGAAAAATAAAATAAACAAACAATTGTCCTGGGTTCCCGGCTTGTCGTGTGCCTTCTCACTGGCAGAGCATGAGAGCCTGAGAAGTCCTTGATCAGGGTAAGCATTACTTAGCAACAACTAAAACATTGGTGTGCTATCAGCATTTTCTCAGACTAAAGCTGAAACACAGCTCTGTACCATCTACTAGGAAGGAAAAAAGTAACTGTTACAGCTGAACCCAAGACAATATCATTGCAACTACATCTGGGAGAGATTTCCTTCCGTAAGTGAATTTTTAGCATACAACATCTCATAATTACTCAGTTCACTATTCTGCTAAATAATTTGTCAGAGCATTAAAACACTCTTCAGTGTGCTCTAAGACTAGAGGAAGCAGTTTATCTTAAGTTACATTTACACATTGTTCCAATCCCTGTAGTATAAAATGAATATAGCTCTGAGTCACGGGACTGCTTGTCAGCAGCCATGGCAGCTGACAAGGCACTTCTGGTAATGAGGGTAATTCTCTTTACATAGAAATGGTTAAAAGTCTCTCCAGCCAAATGGAAATAACCTAAATACTAGATTTACCATATCTACAAAGTAGAAACAGAAAGGTTTTACTGTTATTCCAAACAAACAATATTCATTAGTAAAGGCAACAAAGTTTTGCATGTAATCCATTTAGTGATGGCTTCTAGTTCAGTTTATTGTTTGTTTTTATTGTGATACCCAGAAAACCATTTATTTGTTTAAATGCTACTACTTAGTCTTAAAGCTTTTGATTTTTAAATAGCTGTAAGCAAATATAAGATATCACTGAAATTAATAATAAACATGAAACAGTCCAGTGATCTAAAATACAAGGATTTTTTTTACTTTGGAAATGCCAGATTTAGGAGCTTTCACCATAATGACTGCACAACTGAATAAGGAAACAGATTCATTCTTACGTTAAATCTCTCTTCTTAAAAACCTTAGTAAATACTAGAATACAGAAAGCTGCAGCAGGTATTTCAAAGGAGCGTGGATGTGCATTTTCCTGAGTTCATACTCTCCAGCTGGGAGGACCTGGGTTATGCCCTTGGGGAAGACCCCCATGCAGTCCCATCCACACACCTGCACGCTGCCCAGTCCCACCCTCATGCAGGACACACATACACAGGCTTGCACAGCAACACATAGGGAGTCTCCTTTGGCTACACGCTTGTCCTAATTTCTTCTCTCCTCCCCCTTGTTGCTAGCTGGGAAGGAGCTGAAGCCTTGATTCATGACCAGCAGTGGCTCCCCATGTCCACCCTCTTCCCACATACCAGGGCAACTCCCAGTGTAGCCCTCATCTCCCAGCGGTCATCCCCATGAGACACAAGAGGGTCCCATGGAGCCCTCTGGAACTACCCTTATGAGGAAGAAGCAGTACAGAGCTTCAATGGGGTGTGAGAGATCCTCTAGGACAAGGCCACCCATTGAATTTGCCCTCAGGGAGCCGCGACTCCAGTTTAAGAGAAGGCAAATAGCTAATATTCAATTGGAGATGAGTTCTGTAATAAGTGGGTCTTACTTTAAACAGGCAAGTCAGACTCTGGATGGGTTTTACGGAGAGCTACCAGTTCTTCCTCTATGCTGTTCTGACTCTGAGGATGATTCCTGCCTCAACACTACTGCTGACCACTCAGTTCACCATCTGCTACACCTTCCCCAATCCCACAAAAGCTAGGGAGGAGTCTGCATGAGGCTCTTTCCCACCCACTGCTGGCAAACCAGACACCACAGTGGGGTGACAGGGTGATCAACCTGGAGCTCCCCCATTACTGAGACTTCTCATGCCTGATGGTGGGTAGATGGTGCATGACTATCTCTTTGCATAGTCAGATCATGCTGATTTTCTGCAAAGCCAGTTCACTGGAAGTGACAATTTTGCTTCCTTGTAGAGTAACAGTTTCCAGCTGTTATTCTGGGCTACAATATAGACAAATTAAAATGCCAGTGTGAAAGTGGAAATCCTCCCAAGAGACTAATATAAAACAATGTGCATTTTCTCTACCAGGCTTTTTAAAAGATGTCAAGCACGCAGATGCCATTCTCTTCCGCTCTGAGACACTTTAACTGTGACCAGTGAGCCACGCTGGGCAGAAAGAGCATTCCCAATGGCACAAAAGATGAAGGGCTTTCTTCTACAGTAGTATCTCTGGAGACAGGACATCTCCATCTTATGACAACCACTAGCCACACAACAGTCTCAGCTGATGCTAGGCAAGACAAGTTAATATTCGAAGCTAAGCAGAAGGCAAATTTATCCAAACCCCTAGAATTTCAAGAGAGATCACAGTACCTAAAATAGCCACCACCTCGTCGTCCTGGATGACTTCTAGGGATCCTGAGACCACAAAGCAAAGAGCATCAACACTTTCCCCAGCATGATAGATGAGGTCCCCTGGGGCGCAATGGATCGTCTGAAACTCCACAGCCAGGGCTCGCAGACAGCCATCACTAGCCAGCCGGAAGGCAGGATGCTCGTTAAAAACTTTCCGGTTTAGGTGCACGCATATATCTGCTCTCATGTCCTTTGGGCAGATTGAGAGAACCTGAATAAAAGAAACATGAAAAATAATCAGCTGGGAATATGACACCTGGCCAGTGTATGCTTTATGAAATAACTAAATGGATGGACCTTAAGATCTGCTTGGAAGGATCTTAAGATCCATCCATCCAGTTATTCCATAAAGCTTCTGGCAGGAGTTTTATCTTGAATTGGGGTAGTCTTTTTCTACCATCTACTGCTTTCACTGCAGCTGAAAGAGTGATGTGGAACAAGGGACTATGATGTTACACTGTTCTCATTCCTAACAGTTTTCACGCTTGTTTTCCAGAACTGCAGGTGGCACAACTATGTCCTGTTTGTGGATATCCCTCTGGACTTGGTGCTCTGGCTATCCGCCTGCTGCTACACTCAATCCCTGCAGGAGCATGGAACGGACACTCAGAGCTTAAGGAGCTTGAAGACATAGAAAGACAGACCATTCACAATAGAAAACATATTTTGCTCCCATCCAGAAAATCTAGTCTTCAAAGGTCTTTATGTAGATGACCACTTACCGACATGTATCCAAACACACCACCTAGGGTTTAGTTTCACTACCATATAGACACATAATAAGTAAGCTGCCCTGGAGGGTTTACAGACTGGAAAGTCCAGAGTTTGAGATTAGAGCAAACAGAAAGTATTACGAAACCTTATGATACATAAAGTAAAGGTGAATGAAAAACTGTCCTGTGAACACGAAGATAATCTTCATATCAGATCAATTTAATAAGACCTTCAATTAAATTCTTATCTTAAATAGCTTTCCCTATTGAAACAGTAACATAAACACACCTGAAGAAAGAAAGTGTGGGTCTTCTTAGGTTTGTAAACTGTATGTTAAATATTTGCACATCCTCCTAAACCCTAAAATGCTATGGGAGGTAATAGCACTGAGAAATACATAAAACCTTTTAAAGTTTTCCTAGGATAAACAAGAGAAAAGAGCATGAGATTAAAAGCACTCTGGAAGTCTCATATAAAGAAGACTGCAAATCAATAGTACTGATTAATTTGTCTTTGTATGGAATTAATCTGGCAGCTTGCTCTACAGAGAGTGCGAGAGACAGGGACATTGGGTCAATGTGTTGACTACCATTGAATATTAGCAAACAGAGAGAGACTTTGGTAAACCTGACTAAGCTTTGAGGCAAATGATCATAGAATCATATAATAGTTTGGGTTGGAAAGGACCTTAAGATCATCTAGTTCCAACCCCCCTGCCATGAGCAGGGACACCACACACTAAACCATGTCGCCCAAGGCTCTGTCCAATCTGGCCTTGAACCCCGCCAGGGTAGGAGCATTCACAACTTCCTTGGGCAACCCATTCCAGTGCCTCACCTCCCTCACTGTAAAGAACTTCTTCCTTATATGTAATCTAAACTTCCCCTGTTTAAGTTTAAAGCCATTACCCCTTGTCCTATCACTACAGTCCCTAACTAAGAGTCCCTCCCCAGTCATGTTAATATTGAAATAAAGCCACAATTCAGAAGAGGTATGTTATTGGAAAGTATTACTAAAGGTCCTAAAACATAGAATAAGAAAGTAGCAAACAATTTCTAGTTTACTAATAACATTTAGTCCCTTTCTTTCTTACTTTAACAGATCAAAATTGCTCTGCAATCAAAGATATAATGAATGCAAAAAGGTGAAGAAGTTATTCTCTTAGCCTCTGTACTATGATGGTCCAAGGCTAGCAGGAGCTACTGTAACCATCTGCACTAACCTCTTGCACTCATAATTTTCATAACAATCCCAGAATACCGTTTAAAATAATAGCCTAGAAGGCCTTGATTTAATGTTTTCAAATGACATAGGGTAGTTGTTCCAATGGACAGCTACTCTCTCTTTTAAAACATGTGCTGTTTCTTAACTATTTTTTTTTCCTAGTTTGTCAGCCAATAGCCAGGAGAACTCATCATGTCACTAAAATAAAATACTTGCAATCACTGGAAATCTCTTCCACATGTAGGTGTTTATAGAATACAACCAGGTCGTCTCTCGATCTCATCTCAAATAAACAAGAGAGATAATGGTTTTTGTGCCTAACACTAGGAAGCACAGTATCTCTTTGGAAACTTCCCCATAGCATTAGGTTTTCTCACTTACAACCACCTTCCCAAATCTACCAAATAATTAGTTTTTATTTGATTTAACAGAGAGTAAGTCAATTTGGCTTAATGCTATTTTTTCTGTAACAAAACATTGTACAGAACACATTAAAATACTCTGCATAAGTTGGTTTCATCATAAAAAAACCCCAAAACACATTTGACAAGACATATTCTCTAATAAACCATTTTTTGCATTAGTAATAATGTCTCGTCTGCATCACTGTTGACATATGCTGTATTACCTTTCCATAATTACATTAAGGGCAAATGTCAACTTTACAAACATATACTTAACCGATTCTTTCCATTTACCATTAGAAATATGGACACAACTTATTTTGTCCAGTAAAAAAACCTAACAAAAAAACCCAACACCCCCCCCCAAAAAAAAAAAACCAACAAAAAAAAACAAACCCCAAAAACCCTCTTAACCTCAGCCCTACTTCTGGATCAAACAAAAAGCTTGTCTTCATTATAATGAAACAGCAACATGCCAACATTTTCCTTCTCAATAGTAATTTCATGAAAATTCTGCTTTTCTTTTTTTTTTTCATTTCTATCCTGATTGATAATTTTTGACATTTTATCTGCTCTTGGGCCTAAATAATGGTTAGAAGTTTTTTATTTTTCTTTAGTACTTTCAGTAATGTAAATGCCTTTGCCTATGGCCATGAGTTATGAATTCTTGAACACTACTCTTAAGAAAAATGTGTATGTTTGTACATGGCTGATTTCCAAATTTTAACTTTTAAGCTTAAAAACTGCAGGAAAAAAATATTAAATTATTGCATAGGTTGTTTCTATAAGATTCTGAGATGTTCCGGGACCCTTTGTTTTTCGGAGTGTAAATTAACTGTGTCCCTAAAGAATAAAAGCCAGTTGGATGCAAAGCAGCACAGTGTTCCTTCACAAATATAGAGCTAAGTACAGAATATTAAAAGAGAGCACTCAAAGCATTACTCTGTATAAACACAACAGACATATCTATCATCACACTCTGTAATACAAAGAGACAGAAGGAATTCCATTCCACAGAAAAAGCCATTCTTAGAAAGCATAATTTGGGATTTTTCTGATGTTGTGATAAAAGTGATTCTCCTAATGACATATTTCTATATGGAAATATCGCTTATCAACTAGTAGTACAGCAGTAAATGAGCAATGATGCAAGAGTTAGCTAGGGAAAAACATTCTTTATTCCAGTTTTCTTGTCTGCTACACTGCAAATACTAAGAACAGAGAATGAAACAGATGACAATTAAAAGAAACATTTAATATTGAAAGATCTATCAAAGGAACTTTGACAGATAAAGATAAATGTAGATATACATAGGGAGGAAAAAAAGCAAAGATAAAAATATCTTAATATTCAGCTATTTGTTTTCTGCATGCTCCAAGCATAGGACTTCATGAGCTACAACCTTACTTTGCAGCACTTCTTTTTGTGTTTACAAATACCAATGTCATGAAATCAGAAGGAGTCTCACAGATGCTACCAGCTTCTCTATTAGTTTTACTGTAAAAAAGGGTTTGTTGGTGACACAGATTACAGAATGCAGTAATTTTCCTGCTTCCAAAGAAGACGCATAATGTGATACAGGATCACACAGAAGCATTTGGAAGCTGATGATAAGTAGCCCAAAGATCCTAAGAGCAGAAAATGAGAAAATCAGCACTTCAAATTCGGGTGAACATTTTTCTGAAAATGATCCCTTATTGATAATACAAGATGTTGACATTGTAAAATGCTCTTACTGAGATCTTGGCATTTTTAAGGCAGTGCACAACTAAAAAGATACAAACTAGTAGCAACATGGTTGTACATGAGTCCGTATGCACACACATTGGTGTAAAAGAGAAATCCAGTTTAAGGGAGAGGATATCCTGTAATGCTTAATCTATTGTTTCAGTGTTAGGGCAATGCCTCCAACTTCATGTTAGTAGAACCAAAGTTCAGATGGGACGTTTGTTGTAGCCTGTAGTGCAGTGCATCAAACCCCACCAAGACAAATTTCTGAAGAGTAAGTTTCCTTAGAGATTTCAAGAAACCTATCATTTATAAGCAAGGCAGGATATTAAGGTTGCTGACTGCAATGCTTTACTAACTGATGGTTTCGGAGCACATGGCTTAGAGCAGACAGTCTGCCGGGACCAGATGCTTGTGCTGCTAAAGAAGTTGCTCTGCAACAAATCTGTAGCCACAGACTTCACAGTCAGCTTTTCCATATGTACCCAAGCAGCATGAAAGAACAGAACCTGTCACGTTTCAATGCAAAATCAGAGGAGAAAGTAAAATTCTACCCAGAGGAGAATTTTGCTGGCTGTATAAACTGTTTCTACCAGAAAAGGACCAAGGTTCCATGCCATATGTATCCAGAAAGACCTGAACCACTACAAAACTGAGAGAGGAGAAAATAAAGCACAGAATAACATTTATCTCTTCTCTGCAGAGAAAATTAATCCTTCTCAAAGTCAGTGTAAGACAATTGCTGAGCTCTGCCATCATCACCTGGAACCCAACTGATAAAAACCCCAACACAACAACACCCAAGGCAGAGATTCAGCACTGCTGTCATCTCTAGAGCACCCTATGGCATACATAAAATGGTGGTGGTGAGCATGATAAGCTTGTGGCTGCTAGAAACTAGGAAAGTCAGTAACTAGCTCACAGGGAATTGGCACAAAGGTCTCACTATCTTTTCAGCTTGAGATCTGTAAGGGGGGAATAAAATTCTCAAGGAGGTTCAATCTGACTTTTTTCCTCTCCCATCATTTCCTCAGCATGCTCAAGCAGTTTAAGATAAGTCTCTTGAACAGCTCAAAGAACTCTACAGGGAGCAGAGATTATAAAGAACTCAAAGAAAGGCAAATGAATCGAAACAAAAAC